ATTTACATTCAAATAGGCCTCGTTCTAAACGGAAACGTAGAAACATACCTTCAAACAGATCTCCAAATGAATGAAGTTGAGATTTGGGCAACAACGTAATTTTCGTTTTATTAGATTTTTTCCTCTGTCGTACGAACAACGGTTGATCACTCCCTACCAAAGTTCTGCCCAGCTCCTGGCTCTCACAGCGATATGTACTTCCTCATGTGACAGCATTATGCCACAGATATGACATGGACCTAACACTTCCGAAGCACTGGAGTCTCATACGTGTGCATAAGTATCCTTTACCACAATAAGGGTACTCAACAGGGTACTCTTAGTGTCACGTACGATGCATCGAATTCTCAAAATATTTGCCGAAGTACATACAGGACTGACAAACAGCCCAAACAACCACTATGTGAACCAAAAAATAAGAAAATTAATATTTTGTAATCCTCTATATGCAAGATACATGTAGTTAATAAAACATGTTCTTAATAATATATTCTTTAAGTAAAATGGCTTTCTTAGGAATATGATTCATCCATTTATAATTGAAAAATGTCTGTGACTTGGGATTTCAATTTCACCTCGGCTGATTTTAAACCCGCCTATGCAAGATTGACATTTCATTCTCGCCCAAGTAGCTACCGTAGATTGCGATTTCAATCACGCCTTGGCAGATTTAAAAACTACCTGGATTTCAATCTTGCCTGTGACATGGAAGCCATATATGGGACCAACCCCCTCCCAAACACTTTTTTCAACCCCGGGCAGATACCAGAGAGCTAAGAGGAATTCCCAGCCCCCTATTTTTTTTCTGACTGATAAGCCTCCCACCTCCCATCCTCTCAAAATGTGCTTCCTGCGCTTACGTACTAGTATGGTTGATATTCGTATTAAACAAAAAAATTATATTTAATATCTGTGTAGTGTTTATGCTGAATAAAAACTTTCGAAAATTCCATTTCTTAAAAGATCTGGATACCTATTAAATGTATATGGAGGTCACAGGGTAGATACTCAGAGGTTACGTTTATGTAAATTATCTAACGACCACAAGAGTAGACCTGTTGGGGGGGGGGGGGGGGGCGGGAAAATTTTATCTACGTTCACTAAGGTTTCATGATAAAAGGTCCAATTTTTCAGAAAAAGAACCCCCCTTTTGTGATTGCAGGCTACGGGCCTGTGCAGCCATGGCTTCTCCAAATAGTATCGCATTATAGCACTCAAAGTCATATGAAAGTTTAATAAATACATATACTATACATCTTGTTCTGACATCTAAAGAAAAAATATTCGGAGTCGTCATCGTCTTCAAACACCGTTCAATTTTGTATTGAGTATCTGTATGCAATTTCTACAGTGTGCTCATAATTTGAATAATTCCAAAAACTCAACTTTGGCACAACGTGGCCCAAAACAAGGATATGACGGTCTTGTACCATATTGGTTCAAAGTGAACACCATCCGTATTCCAGTGCAATACGTCTTTTGAAATTTCATACAAGTCAAACATGGGGTATAAATTAGTTGCATTTTTCTCAATTATATACTTCCTTATCACAGATGCGCTGATTGCATTCAACTGCTTTATGAATTCATTGCCCGTAACATCCCTCCATTTGACTGGTTGCTTTGAAGGATCGACATGCGGTGAATTCCAATATAATATTTTAGTTGTTTTTGGTATAACAGAGACAATGAGGTCAATGAACCAAGTAAAATCACGGGCAAAATCACGGGGCGTTCGTTTCTGTGCCTCGTGCACATGTACAGCGTATATGTTAATGACATCTGGATAACCTGACAGCGGCCAATACTCGCGGAAATATACTTCTTGCGTTGTAACAGAGTCTTGGCAATGTATCTGGTTAATTTGCTTCAGCCTGATATCACAATCACCTTTCCAGAAGTTTCTTTTTGTGGTAATTTCGTGGTCTTTTATAAATTCGGTTATTAACACTTCTATGTCAGAAGTGACGATGCCATTTGGTGCTGTGCATTGAACCAGCTCTCCAGCACACCCATTGCAGTCTCTGTTTGCAACCGTTAAATATTTTTTGTCCAAAGGAGGGCTAAAATAACTCGGAGAGGGTGTTCTTATACTTCTAGTTTCCCTTTTAAGTTCCTTGCACTTGAAAATCCCTTCACCCCGTTTCATAGCCGCCATATATTTCATCGATTGAGAGTCTCCAGTCTGTCCTATCTTCCTTATCTTTTTCCTTTTCAAACATGAAACAAGCTGAGCAGGGCTCTGTAACTCTGGAACAATGCACTCTTTTGGCAGCCATTTTCTGTTTACCCATTTTCCGTATCCTAGAAACCTTTTGTTTTTTATCAGGTATCGCTGTAGAAAATCTAAATTACATATCTGCATTTGTTGAACTTGATAATTTGCTTTCTGCATGTTTCTATTATGAAAACTCGCCAACCATACATTATCAAAATTCGCTCCAAGTTTATTTGAGTCCAGATAAATACCCAGCGCTATTATGGCGAATAGTATAAGAAATAAACCACTTTTGCATCGCAGGTTTGGTAGAAGTTGTTTTGCGCCCATCTTTAAGGGAGACCTAGAAGTAAATAAAATTTCTAATACACAAATTTCAAACGTACACTTACTTGGTATAAACAATGTAATTTTCTCTGTCATAAATATTTTGTACTAAATAACCTGCCTTTACACACGTTAAATCTATATACTTCTGCAATTTACTTTTGTTAATAATCTTATTGACAAAGTATTATGTTTATTATCACCGTTGGCTTTTACATGCTTCTTATAACATAGATCACCCTTTGGCTCCCTATCTATCTGTAACATACGTCACAAATGCTAGCATGTTCGTTTGAGAGGTACACAAAGGGAAGGCCGGTCTACATGTAGTTGGCCCAGGTGACACTTTTGCCCTTGTGGAGCCAAATGAGAATAAGGCTTCGTTCACATGCAATGTCTATTTTCTAAATTCTATTTTCTATTCGCGCTATCTTATGATCATGGTCTGTGCCCTGAATATCCCGCCGCGTAATTACTGGCAGCGCGAGCCAGTTACTTATAGTAACTTATAGTAACTGGCTCGCGCTGCCAGTAATTACGCCGCGGGATATTCAGGGCACAGACTGTGATCATAAGACATACCGCAAATAGAAAATAGAATTTAGAAAATAGACATTGCATGTGAACGAAGCCTAAGTAAGAGCTCCAAATCCGGTTTTAGAACAAGCGACAAGGATTTAGCTACAGATACAAAGTTACTGTTTTGCAAATGTAATGCCAGAAAACTTTCTTTTGGTCTCACTGCTGAAGTAAAACTTTTTACGCCCGACGCTTTCTTGGCACTGTGGTATATGATCACTTTACAAAATATGTGATCAATTATTTTTATAGGGACGTTTTCATTAAGTGACGAGTGGTCAACTTAACCCGGGGTCCAACTAGTCCCGGTTTCCCCTTATCTATTTTTAAAGCTTATTTGCTGGGATGTCGTGACGTTTTAATTTTAATTTGGGAGTGACAAATGGAGATAAACATATAACAATATAATTATAGAAATAAGAGTAAAAAGGCCTTATTAACCATTTTGGTGATCAGCATAACTCGTGGAGGTGATCTGTTTCGGAAGACACTGTACATGTATGCCTAGCATAACGCTGAGAAAAAGCATTTCAGGAGTATTTTGAAAAAAAAAAAAAAAACAATGGCTCCGCATACAAAATGTAAAGTTTCTTGGCACAACGATTCAAGTTAGCTTTGTCTAGCAGGTCGAGTTTTATTGTCTATACTGGGAGTACATCCAGAGTACATCTACCGCATCGTTCGAAGACAACGCGAAATTGCAAGGGGTGCGAGGGGAACAGCAAAATAGAGAGGAGGGTGGAAAAACAAATGTTGGAACCACCATTGTTACCTCTGACCTCATTACAACATGGCTGCGACAGAGCTTCCGGCATGCACTTAGGCTTCAGGTTCCACTAATCCCATTAAAAGTTACAGTTTGAAAGTTAAATTTGCAGATAGAACTCGGTGGGGAAACGGCCAAAGGTAAGATGCTTCCACCAGGATCCAATCATTGTCTTTTGCGTTTTTATCTGACTTACAAATAGCCATCAAATAAGTACCCTTGTGTGACGCGAACATGGTGACAAGTTTGGATTATAACTTCCTAGTTCCCCGGAGCTGGGTATAACCACTTGCCTTGAAATACATGAGCAACCAAAGCAAAGAAATGAATTAATAAACGACCATACGTCTCTCATGTGTTTTGAAGTATTGCTTTACCTAGCCAACTTTTGAAATACGGGTACTAGACCGGCACTAACTCCGAAAATTGCTGTCTTTATCAAATATCATATGTACAGTTATTTACATGCAAAGACTCAAGGGTACTGTATAGATTTTGTCTAATTTAATAACATAATTGAAATTAATTTATCTATTTTTTAAAATTAAATTAGGAGTGCTAATAGTCACGGACCTCAGTCACTGTCAGTACAGTTTTCAAATAGGACAGTAGAAGACTTTAATAATCTACAGATTTACCTGGTATTTTTATGTGATGCCCTTGTGGTCATTACTGCATGGTCTGTGTGAGTCATAGTTCGTATAATGTAGTCTACCAAACCATTATGAGTAATTGGCAGGGCTAGCAAGAGAAATCCAAAATGCAAAAATATATATTTTGTTCCAGTTCTCTTGCAAAAATAAGGTTCATTAGTTTCTTTTTGCCACAGGTGAGCATTTGTAACAATATCAGGTAAAGATATATATAGGTCACTAATCACAGGGTATAGGTCATGGATTATATTTTGGAACTATACTAACTTAATCTTAATTTTATGAGTTCTTGTCCAAAATATCCCATGTTGCTTGGGTTTGGATGGTATGTCATTTGCTTATTTCAGAAGCATCTTTCATTTGGTTTTGATACTTAGTTTTAAGAGCTGTGTAAAAATCACATAAGAACCAAGTCACAGTTTAAAAAATGGCCACATGCAAACATGACAGGAGGAGGAAGTTAAGTCTTATCTCATAAAGTCAATCTAAATATAGATGCACAATCAAGAGATCAAACTATTCAGTATGTCAGTTTAACACTTTGTGCAAATCAATTGTCATATGCTTTAGTGCATTTTATAAAGACCTAGATAAAATAGCGGGGTGATTTTGCATATTTAATATCTGGACTTAACTTTATCAGGGATACTAGATTACAGTAATTTTGATCCTGACTAAAATGGAGAGCTTACCATATATCACACAAAGGAAATTCAAACCAGGTTAAAAGTAGACCAAAATTTTAAGGTCAGTATCCAATGGAGATGGTTCTACCATCAGCCCATGTGGGTCAGTCATTAAACTGAACTGCATACAAGTTGTGTTAACAGGCTTTCTGATTTTGCTCAATATACCAAAGGAAGTCTGTCTGACAGAACTGGACTGACCACAATATTAAAATGGCATTGCCATGATTGGGTCCCAGTGGCATGGCTAGAAGGTCCCATGACCCCAGAATGTTAGACTTTCAAAGCTCTTGAAGACAAATAATATTATGAGGGATGAAGAGTTTGATATCCAAATTTAAATATGCTCCTTTTTTATCTGGGCATCTCGTATTGTGTTAGGCCCATTTGAATGGAAGTGACACTTAAGCCAGTTATCCATCGGATGATTCCAAGGGCCTATAAAGTATAATCTGCAAGTCTGGATACCTGTCTTAAGCTAAGACCTGTTAGGTGCTTGGTTATCAGTAAATAGGCAAATATGATTACTATTACAAGAATACATTTGGCTGTGTACCAGTTTGTTGAGGCAATTGTTTCAGGCCATTCAGTTAGGTATAGCCACTACAGGACAGTGCATCAAAGCCCAAACACTTTTTTCAGTGGGATGGGGGTGGGGGGTGGGGGGTCCGATTTTGTTAACAAGCTTAAGCACAGATTTTGTATTTTTTAAAGAAAATGTCCAATTTTTAAAGAACATTGTATAAGAAAGGTACCTGTGATTGAAAGAGCTGGTACATTAAAGTATATACTAGTATATTGAAGAATAAAATTTAGGTTATGCAATGGTATGAAAACTATTTACATTTGAAGGATAAAGTAGTATTATATTGGTTTAGTCATGCAAAGGGCTTTAGTTGTTTGTGATGTTTAAAAGAGGAGTGACATTTAATCAGAAACAACAAATAATGAAACACTTCATATTGTTCTGAGATTAAAAAATATGGAAAAGAACTGAGACAAAATGCATTGAAATTTTCGAATATAAAAGAGAGCTTTGTTTTTGTAACATTCTGTGTAATATATAAGAGTGCATTCACAGCAGCAGACATAAAGATCCGCGGATCAAATATGGCCGACCCACTTGAATGCTATTAGTGTAATATCCACGAGGAATCTAATCAGTGTCTAATTGGGAATTAAGCGTCAAGCTTTTTAGTGAGTCGCCTTATTTAATCTGCGGATCTGTTAGTCCGCTGCTCTGAATGGGCTCTAAATTAAACATTGAATCAATGGTTCTGGATATGAATAAGTGCTCTATGTCTTCAGTATGAGTATATGAAATTGCTTCAAGCTCTGCTTTTAACTAAAACTATTTTTTGACTACTATATCAGGAAGCGTACAGTTTGAAAAATTTGGGTTAGGCAAATTTAGGAAAACCCCTCTGTATGAGCAATGTCTTTAGTTGCTAAAAAAGGTATGAAGGAAGTAAGGATTGCTTTTATTGTAAATATACCTTCCTTCTTTTTCTTCTCAGAAAAAGTTTGTATTTTATGTGATTTGTATCTAATGTCAACTTTTTCAAAATTCTATGGAATGCACTTGTAAGAGGAGTTTCAATCATAAGAAATTTAGGAACATTGGCATTGCAAGAGGAATTCTGAAAAAAAGGTGGGGGGAAAAGATTACAGTGTGTGGTCATGATTGATATTGCAAATCATAATGTTATATTTGGATGTTTACTTTACAAACACTTGCTGCCACCACTGTCTAAATATGGTCTAGGAATGTCTTAGGTTCTCCTGTGCTGTAGGTATTTTATCATGAATTAGTAGGAATTTCCAGGATGTTACTTTATGGATTTAAGCATGTGCAGATATTCGTATGAGGGTCACCTGTGCTATTTGTTGTACATTACAGAGAAAAAAAATCAACTGTCAAAATAAATCTTAAGATACACTAAGAAAACTTTCAGGCCTCAATTTTTGTATATAGTTTGTATATTACATGCCTAACTTCAAGCCAAATTGATATTTTCATCTTTTTGATTTTTGAGAAATGTTACAGTTGAGCATTAGAGAGAGAAAAATAAGGAAGGGATTTATAACTGCTCATCTGTCTAAATGTAATTATATGGTGTACCATGTTTGAAACTCCTCACAAAAAATTATCTATGAACTTTTTTTCGAGTTATATATTTTACTGTAATGAATAAAAATTGTCAATTACTACCTGCATTACGAGAGTGACTAAAAAGGACATTCAAAACATGATGAAAACTGGCTTATGGATTGCAATTTTCTATGAACAGCTTCGGATATGGCATGCCTTCAACTGGGGATAAAAGAGTTCAAAGTTAAAATGTTCTTGGTATTTCCTTCAATGTGAAGATACCAGGCCATGGTTAGGAGGACTACAGTATTTTGTTTTTAAGTTCAATTTATATTTTGGTAGACTGCTTATTGAGGATTAACTTAATCAGTGGTCATCTAGTGGTCAACCAACATTTTATAGGTGAGTTGACCAGAAGTCTGACCTTTGCTGAAAAGTGTGAGCAGAAATTGATTAGCTTAGAGGTGTTTTTTGGCAATCCCTTACTGTGCTGCACATTTATTAATACAATTACTAGTAAACTTTCTGCCTCTGAACTTTCCATGTCCATGGGGTCAAGGTTAAAGACATATTATGTATTATATATAGTCCAGAGTTGATGTTTTAGTTTGCTGATTGATTATTTATACTGATATATTTTAAACAAATGGTTTTGAAAGGAATTGGATGTGCTTCTAAGACATAGAACATAATAAACCAAGCGAGTACACAATAAACCAACTTACCAAGTGTTTTTAAGAAAGTTCACTGTAAAAGACATGGTATTCAGTTCTAGTCCCATTTGTTGATTTTTAAAATTAAAAATTAAGAAATAAAGAGAAAAACACCTAAGAAGGTTAAACTCCACATTTTGATTGAATAATTATGTTATCACCTAAATGATTTTACTTAAAAAGTTTGTCACACCAATTGAAGCAGACTGCTGTTTCCTTTTATTAAGCTCAACCATTTTACTTCATTTGTATACATTTTTTGGGGGGCTGTATCTCCAAATGTTTATTTATAGTGTGAGTCAAAGGCTGTTCTTGTTTTATGAGTCATGATGGTTGAAAATATCAGATAATAGTGTTGAGGATGAAGAGGTATCTTCCACTCAGTATGATTTGGCTAGAAGTTCAAAACCACCCCACCAGGAACCAATACTTACGATTTGAAAAACTGTGTAATTGTTTTCCCTTGTATGGTTTTCTTTTTTAATTTATATTGCTGAGGCTGATTGAAAGGCCTTTTGTAAAAAAAAAAAAATGTGACCTATTGCATGTCTAATAGGAAAAAGCATTCATAAATTGTAGAAAAAAAGTCAGTGTAAGATGTCAATGGAAATAACAAAAGTTTTTTTCTTTTAGGTTTGTGCCCAGCCTTCTGTATTCCAGTAAAATAAGGCAAGAAGTGAACAAAAACCATGTCAAGATCAACAGGGCCACCACCAGTAAGTGTGGACACATTATAAAACTTAGACACCAAATGTGTTACTCTGTAGACACATGATGAAAATTTATGCAGAAATGGTGTCTCACTGTTGGAAAATACATGGTACTTTGAGCACATGTGCTTGAAATTGACTGGGAAACAAGTACAATATAATGAGTACACAGAATGCTTAGTACTATTTGTGGGTGTGTTGAAAAAGTAGAAGTATTTGTGATGGAATGCACTTTTAATTCACTTGAACAGTAAATATTGTAATATTGCCCTAATTGAGATGTAATATTTTTTTCTCCACAATTGTAAAAAGTGGGTACAGTCATAACAAACACTTACTTTTACTTTTTGGTACACTTAAAACTGAACAGAGGGCATTTTCAACCTTTAAGCACAATAAGTATGTAACTGAAGTAGGAAGGAATTAGATCGAGTATTTGTGTGTTATGTGTTACAAAAAGTACTTTTTCTGTATAAATATGATTGGTTCGTTGCAATGTGTACAGGAGAAAATTCTCAACAAATACATGTTCTCTTTCTGCATCAGGACCAGTGGCAGCCAGGGCAGGAGGTGCTAGCACGCTACACATTCCAAGGCAACTCAAGGGAAGATCTACCCTTTCAGAAAGGAGATGTGCTTACTATAATAAAGGCAACCAGGGTAAGGCGCACCATGTTAGGTGGGATGTGTCTGACTGAAAAAAGTCTTTAAAAGTGTGAACCTGCAGTGAGTTGCATCAATTCTATTTTAATTTCGATGATATAAAATTACCACTTGTCACTACTAAATGTCTATAAAAGTTCACATTAACTTTTTTTTGCATCAGTGCATGTCATTCTACTGAAAGTTTTTAAGGGAATCTTTAACAAAAGAGTCTTGAAAATCACATAACTAATATGTACATTTCTCATCCACTTGTAAAAATTTTACACATTTAGTAAATTTTCTACTGACATTGGAGCAAAAAATTCCAGGCCAGTGCAGACAGCTTGTCGATGTGGGGATGAATCATATATACCCTCTTATCTAAGCCACTTTTTCTGGTTCAGAATTAAGTGATATTCCCCTCCCCCTTTTTATCAGCTATTTTGGTTGAAGCCATGTGCCACATCTTAGTCAAGATTCTTAATGGCCCTCACACATAAACCCAACGTGTAAGACATAGGTACAGCGCATATTTTCTAAACATTAAGGAAATGGGAGCCCAAAAAGGGCACTTCAAAACTGAATTCAATTGAGGACATTCTTACTGTCTCTAGATACATATGTAAGGCTAAGCAATATGGTATGTGTGTGGTAACGGTTTAGAAAAAAAACGGTACTAGTAGTGATTGTTAAGTATTTTTAACCAATTTTTTTTTTTGTAGAATTTCTAATTCACATTGTGCTTAATGCTTTTTTACTAAGTAATCCTCGCTACTTTGGATGCATACCTATTACTTTACCTCGTCTTACTAGTAAATGAGAGGACATTTTACAAACACTAACAGCTTAGGGTGCATTCCCAGAGATTTAGATCGATCCAGAGATTTAGATTTAGATCGACCTAACTCCCTGGGGGTTCACGCTAAATTGCAGTCAGCCAAGCGCACACCATAGTTAATTACCCCCTTACAGCTTTTAGTAGGTGGGACAGACACTTAGGCCGGCTAAGCTGACAGTAATCTAGTGGGACTCCCCACAGGGATAGATAGATCTAAAATCTATGGGAATGGGGCCTTAGTGTATTAATATTTCATTTTATCTTTATACAGTAAAGAATTGAAGGAGCATTTAAACTAACATTTTGGCCACAAACCCAGACCAAGTCTAATATTACAACTTAGTACAACTTCATATTTACCAAAAAAATGATATATGAACGAATTTTTCTGCTTTCTTTCTGTGCTGTAAATATCCCTCAACAGTCTCATATTAATAAGTATGGAATTGCGCGTGCAACTATAGATCCGTACATTGGAGTAAGAGTGACGATTGTGCAATGCCTACGCAGTACTATGTCATTTTGCGGACTTTTATGAACAGAGGGTCAGATAAATAGGTCAATTTATGACCAAAAATTTGGAGAAGGTGCAGTTTTAATGCTATTTTTGCCTGAACGATTGATTAATTTGGTTTATGTATTTGCATGCTGACTTTATTTAAGACTTAGACCCCATTCCCAGAGATTAGATCGATCCAACTAGATCGACCTAACTCCCTGGGGGTTCACGCTAAACAGCTGTCAGCCCAGCAGGCACGTTAATTACCCCTTTACAGCTTGTAGTAGGCGGGACAGACATTTAAGTCAGATTATCTGACAGTAATCTAGTGAGACTCCCCACAGGAATAGATCGATCTAAAATCTATGGGATTACGCCCTTAAAGAAACAATCGGAGGTGGTTCATATGCTTTACTGGCAATCCACGCTCACTTTATATGTATCTTTAACCATTGGTATTGTGCTGTGGAGACATGCTGTTGATATCATTGCTAGCAGTTCCTACTTAGAAGTGCTGATAATATTGTTGTTCCTCTTACATAGCTCAGATTATAGAGGTAATATACTAAGTAGAGAGAAATGTGATCTTGAACTTACCATTTGTGCTAGATGGCATGCATTGTGATTAGGAATAAAACTTGTGTGTTTTGAATATATATACAAATGTGTCAAAAACAAGGAAAATTCATTACTGATATTGATTTTGTGGTTGACAAGCTCTGTTGACACTAAATAATTTAGCTAAGTACTTCATCAGTGGAGGCTCAGGTGTTTGATAATAATTTCTTCTGTCATTTAGACAGAGAAATAAATGTGATAGCTTCATATCAATCATTACTTTTTATTGGTACTTAGTTAAGTGATTGTCAAGTGCTTTGCAGGACTGTGTGGTATTAACAGGTTGTTTCTACACTATTACTTAAAGTGTGTGTGTGTGTGTGTGTGCGCCTGTGCATGCCCACAATTATTTCTCTTCTAAGCCGTCCCTCTTAATTTCACAGGACCCAATGTGGTACCACGCCAGAAGGTCTGACAACAAAGAGGGAATGATTCCTGCAAACTATGTGCAAAAAAGATCTGAGGTCAAGCTGCATGCTATGCCGTAAGTATTAAAAGAATTTTTCTGTTCATTTAGTGAAATTTCATCACATGCCCCTAGGGAAATAACACACAATGAAGGGCTGGCTAACTAGTAAGTATGTAGTTGGTTCACAAGTGATTTTGTTATTTGGTTACTACTAATTGGTGTTGCCTTAATTTTGGTTTATGTTATTGGGTTGTTCTTGTATGTTTTCCAGTGTTGACAATTTAATTATGGCATACAGTTTTAAATTGAGCAGACTCAACCTATCCGTGGCACCAGTCAGTAGCTTGTTATTACTAATTAACATTATGTTCATGTTTATAGTTCAGCTAGGTATACCCATACAGCTCTGTATTAAAGAACCGTTTTCACCCAAGGGAGCATCAATTAATGTGCTTCTTATGTGAAGCTTACAGCCATAATCATGTTAAAGTTAACAGTAGTAATGTTTATGCAGAACTTAATCCACACACTGCTGTTTGTACAATAAATGATTAGACCATGCCTCTGGTGTCTTGTAGCAACAGTAAGGTGAGTTGCTTGTGTTGGAACTTGGTACTGGGTATAACTCTGAAGTCTAAGAGGTAATGAAAACAATGGCTGCAGGTTAGAAGTGGGGTTGACTGACATCCATGCAAAAAAAAAGGGGGGGGGGGAACTTTGGTTCTCTTTGAAATATTTTAACAGAGGAAAATTAAGGTTACAGACTGGCAGAGAAGAAATCAGCTAACTGCACTTTGGCAAACACTCATTTCTTAAAAGAACAGATAAAGAATGATGGTCAGTTATTTGGAGAAAATTCTATTTTTTATTCTTTTTTATGCTGAAATCCCAAAGATGGTGTCTTGAGGCCTTTATTAGGAAGTGTTGTAATAAATCAGAGAAAAACCACCAGTTTTATATGATTTTCAGTTGAAAAATATTTCCTGCATAGATGGTTGGTGCTTAGGCCTCTTCAAATAGCTTATCAGATTATAAAACCCAAGCGGAAAAGTAACTATTGGAGGAGATAAAATGTCAGATAAGAAGGTCCAAATCATGGAAGTGAGAAACATGCTGATGTAAAGATTGAGTAAACTGCTGTGGTCTAATTAGGATGACACACGGAGTTTATTTCATATTTCTTCCTGTCCATGTATTTAAGATATATGATGAGATAATTAGTCACAAAGTGAAAACACTTGACATTTTTTTCCAGGTGTATCATTCTTTGTTAGTCATAGTAACTTGCTTTCAGGTGGCAACTTTTACTTACATTCTAGAAAATTAGGATCAATTTTCTCATTAAACATTAAATTAACATGCTAATGTGGTAGTGCTTTTCATTTCTTTCTAAAAGAGGAGTATTTCCCTGGTGTCTTTACACAGATTTTTGGCATTGTTAAAGGGATAACAACTGTTCATTTTGGTCAAAAAATGAATTTTCCTGGGGTAAACAACAATTTTTCCATACTTACCAATGGTTAATGAATCCATTTCTACATTCAAAGTTAGTCCCTGTTTTTTTTCTAAAAAGTTTTTTTTTTTCTTTTGGTAATAATCTTTAAAGAGATTATTACAGAGTATAGCCATCTGTTGAGGTCACGTGGTTGGATGGCAAGCACATATTGCAGATTTATTGCTATAACTGTAGTTTTTGTGGTAAAATAGAATATATTATATTTCTTTGAGTTGTTTACAATGTATTTATTGTGAAATATGGATCGCATACTAAGGGTTGTTATCTCTTTAAAAAAATTATATATAAAGAAAAGTGAAACTGCATTTCTCTTCTTTGAAGTTGTGTATTAAAATGTTTTACTGTTAAAACATAAAAAGTGGTTGTGAAGCCCTATTTCTTAACTACTGAATCTATCAGGAATATGTAGTCAAAGGTTTCCTAATACTTGTCTAATCTTGTTAGAAGTGTTTCGTTTGAATATGCTCTAGGAGCTAGGGCATGATGCATTAGCTAGAGCTCAGTCTAAATGTACATTCCATATGTGATAGTATCTATGTGATAACAGGTATGGCTCACACCATTTATCACATGAAATTGAAGGATATAAAAAAATGTTGTAGGAATTAGACTAGGATAGGGTATTATTTGTGAGTATTGCTTGAGCTAACATGCAAAGCTCAGTTATGAATTGCTCGACTAGTAGACCTGGATTTAAAATTCACTATGGTCAAGATATGTACAGGAACATATCTTGACCATAGGTCATTACTTTAGAAAAAATAACATGCCAGTTTGTTTGAATTTAGTGAGCAAAGTTTTATATACATATGTATATACATATACGAGTACTTTGTCATAAAATGTTGTCATAAACATAAGCTGACTGAGTTTGAGGATAAGTTAGTAAAAGTTGGACCTACGTTTAAGTAAGCAACTATCACATGCCATGAAGGAAAGGGTTTTTTCTCCCATGCATCGAGTGTGTTTTATGTTTTTGCAAGACCTCTGAAACCAGTGTATTTCAAACATTCCAGGTGGTTTCATGGTAAAATCAAGCGTGAGCAGGCAGAAGAATTATTACAGCCACGAGAAGAGGGATTGTTTCTTGTACGTGAGAGCACCAACTATCCTGGGGACTACACGCTGTGTGTTGCCCATAAAAACAGTGTTGAACATTATCACATCATATATAAACTAAACAAGTTAACAATAGATGAAGAGGAATATTTTGATAACTTAAATGAACTTGTGGAGGTGAGTACATTGAGGCACATTTACATTTGAAGATTGGTTGACTGAGTCATGCTCAGCAGTGGGGATGAGAGGGGGGGGGAGAGGGAACAGGTGGGTTATATTATTGTCCGTGCTAAATTTAATTTAAAAGCTTACAAAGCATGTTATACTTCATGTAGCTAAATTTTTTTTTCCCTTGAGATTTCAACACTTTTTGCTTAACCCTCAAAGTTTTTTGTATCCTTAACTTGGCCCAGCTTGAGTTCTAGTTTTTATGTACAGACACAGATGTGTCTGTACATATAGCCGTCATCTGCGTCTGTCGTCGCCGTCGTTGCCGTCGTCGCCATCGCCGTGCACTTTTACCGATAACACGATAAGTGGAAAACTGTTTTTTCTTTTTGTTTGAAACTTACAGAACTGATGAATATTCATAATACGCAGGTCAAGTTCGAAAATCAGCATGATCGGGTCACTTATAGGGAATTTATGCTGTTTTTATGTACAGACACAGATGTGTCTGTACATATAGCAGTCATCTGCGTCTGTCGTCGCCGTCGTTGCCGTCGTCGCCGTCGCCGTGCACTTTTACCGATAACACGATAAGTGGAAAACTGTTTTTTCTTTTTGTTTGAAACTTACAGAACTGATGAATATTCATAATACGCAGGTCGAGTTCGAAAATCAGCATGATCGGGTCACTTATA